TGAAGAAGGGTCTAGGCCCGAAACATCAGCCTTCCTGCTCTTCTGATGCTGCTTGGCCTGCTTTGTTCATCCAGCTCTACACCTTGTTATCTCTTATGAGAAGCAGCTGGTTCAGTTACCACTGATTGTAGTAAAAGACTTGGGGTCAAGTTTGATGAGGTAAAATTGGTTGAGAAAGATTCGCCTTGATCGGTTCAAAATTTTATGATTAGAAAATTACTGCCTGAGTGAAGTCCTAATTAAATACCTGCAAGTTTTTCAGGAAGATCAAGGGACTATCAAAGGAGCCAAGGCCACCTTGCATGTTGACCAGGAAGCAATTCCACGATTCTGCAAGGCCCGCCCAGTGCCATTTGCCTTATCTGCAAAAGTAGAAGGAGAAATCAGATGGCTGGAAAGTGAAGGAATCATCAAACCTGACCTGTTTATGGAATGGGCAACACCAGTTGTACCGATTGTGAAGCCCGACAGGTCAGTTTGCTTTGTGGGGATTTTAAACAAACAGTAAACCAATTTGCGCAGCTGGTTAAATATCCAAACCCTCACTTAGAGGATTTAGATGCAAAGCTGGCGGGGTTGCTGTCCTTCACGAAGCTGGACATGAACCATGTGTACTTGCAATTGTGGTTGGATGAGGATTCCCAGAAGAATGCTATAATTAATACCCATAACGGTTTGTACTAACATACGATACTGCCATTTGGGGTATTGTCAGCCTGTGCAATTTTTCAGTGGACAATGGAGACATTTTATAAGGGCTATGCAGACTGCCATTTATCTTGATGACATGCTAATAATAGGGAAGACCAATAAGTAGCACTTAGAGAACTTGGACATAGTCCTTAGATGTTTCTCCCAGGCAGGTGTATGCCTTAGAAGGGAAGAATGAGTGTTCCAGACACCCCAACTGATCTACATGGGCTACAGAGTTGACAAGACCAGTTACACCTGTTGGAAGATAAACTGAGGGCGATCAAAGGTACCCAGCTCCCATGTCAACACTGGAGCTTAGGTCTTTACTTGGGCTGGTGAACTATTACAGATGGTTCATACATAACCTTGCTTCCATCCTGATGCCTTTGCATTAACTCTTAAAAAAGGGTCAGCCTTTGAAACAGGCATGTAGCCAAGCCAGGGCTTTCAGGAAAATGAAGAAACAGCTATCCTCTAAGGTGTTGGCACACAATGATCCCAATCAAGATCTGGGATTAACTATGCTTCATAGCTGGCTCAATGGAGAGGAATGCCCAATAGCATATGCATCCAGGTATAATTACAAGTTGGAGTGTTATCTGGGAGGCCAAGTAGCAAATGCTTATGCATTAAGCTGTCTCGCACTGGCAGATACACTGCTGGTGGTACCGCCACTGGATGAGTCCGTAATGGTTTTAAATTTTCTGGACACACTTCTAGTCACAGCTGACAATATCAGACTTTGGACACAGAAAAATCCAGTCTGGCAAAACTGAAAAGTTGGTGGTGATGGGGAAAACAAAGGGCCATCACAACCAGAACTGAAACCTTTATGGACCTGGAGAGACCAAATCATCATTGAGGATGGCATGTTATTATGGGGAGCAAGAGAGATTGTCCTGAGCACAGGTTACCACCAGATACTAGTTGAACTCCATCAGGGTCATCCAGACGTTTCCAAAATGAAGATGTTGGCGAGAAGTTATATCTGTGACCAGGACTGGATGCAGACATAGCCGCATTGGTGAGGCAGTGCCCAGAGTGCAAACAAAAACAAAACTTACCACCAGCAGTTCCCCCACATCCTTGGGAATGGCTGGGTAAACATTGGACTCGGTTACACATTGACTATGCAGATCCTTTCATGGGTTGTACGCTCTTAGTCAATGTGTGCACCCACACAAAATGGCTGAACATGCACAGAGTTCATTTGTCAAACATGGGGACAACGACAGAAAAAGTGTGCGCATCTTCTGCAATACACGGACTCCCAGAAGTGCTGATCATAGATAAAGAGCATCGTTTACCAGCAGAGAATTTGAGTATTTCCTGAAGTCAAATGGTATTCATCACATAAGGACAGCTCCATATCATTCATCGTCCAATGGTCTGGAAGAAACAGCAGTCCAAACTTTGAAGGCAGGCTTTAAAAAAACAGCCTACAACTTCACTAGATACCAAACTGTCCCAGTTCCTATTTGATTATAGGACAACCCCTTTTGCAACTACAGGGATAGCTCCAGCACAGAAGCTAATAGGGAAGAGGCTCCACACCAGGTAAAATCTGATCTTCCCGGACCTGGAAAGGTGATAGGTGAAACGCCATCAGGAACACCAGTGCTGAACACAAGACTCCACTAAGTGAGACAGACAACTTATTTCAGGGGACGAAATTTGGTGTAGTAACCATGGGAATAGCACTGCATGAGTAAGAGGCATGGTTGATGTGAGGTCAGGTCCAATGATGCATAAGGTTTGGGTAGGTATGATGGTCCTGAACAAGCACATGGACAATATGAAAGCTGCAAACTCATAAACGGTGCAGGAGCAAATGTGTCTGGCTCCTCAAGTGCTTTTTCGACTGTTCTGGAACCCGTGGGTTTCTATCTCCGTCAATCATTGAAGACACCTCAGAATCTGAGATGGACGCAGCATACGTTGCTACCTTGATGTCTTTGCCACTTGAAGAGGAGAATGAATTTACTTGGAGACTCTCCGGGCGCAAGAAGCGAGCTGCTGTGCATTACACACCACCTGTATCAGAGGCAGAATTGAGGAATCTGGCCCAGAGCTAAAACACCACAGGAGGTGCTACAAAAGAAAGAATTGGCCTATGTCCTCAGATTCAGATGGGAGGGATGTAGTGATTGGAACAAGGTCAGCCAGGTGGACCTCACAGAATAAGAGTTCCCTGATTGGGGCTATGAATCTGGTCCAACCAGGGAGCCCTAGGTGACAGATATAAACAGGAGTGTCAGAGGTTCTGTTCACTCTGAGAGCTGGCTCTGAAACAGACAGATCAGTGTTAAGGACTTTTCACGTGTAATAAAGGGTGACTTGGTGATGGAATACCGGCCTCTGTGAAGTTACTTCACTGCCTGAATCACCTGGGGTAACTGCAGAAGGATCTTTTTAGTTGATGCTCTTTATGATTAAGTTAAACATGGCAAGTATAAGGCATGAACCATTTTTTTTTCTGGTCCTCAGAAGAAAAGCATTTTTCTAAATAAAGGATTCTCCCAGGTAAGATTTATTGGCATGTATCTAATGTTTAGACACTTTGAAGGAAGAATTTAATCATTTTCTTTTCATGTTATTTAGCATAAGTTTTTTTTAATTCCTTTCGCATTATTTCTGAGATTGGCCATTATTTATTGTATTAAATGAGACGGCCATCTTTGTTTTTTACAGAGGAGTTTTACATGTTTTTTTTTCCAATGGTCCACAGCTCCGAATTTATTACTAGTACAAACTGAAATTTTAGTCCCCAGGAGATCTCAGCCAAAATGTGAAAAAATTCTCAACTTGCAATAACTCATGCAGTGACTACCAGTCCTACCCACTTACCCCCCACCAACTCTAAGTGCAGCCCAGCTCCTTTCACACTTCCTTGTTCAGAGATTGGCTCTCAAAATAATAAAGCATGGATAGAAAATCCACAATCAACTGCCTAAAACTACAGTATTGAAGAGGATAAGGCTAATGCACCAAATGTGGTTAATGAAGCCAACTTGTTTTCTTCCCTTCACAAATCTAAGAGGTTGTAACAAGTACACTTAAAACCTTCCTCTGTAAAACCATAGCAAAAACAGGTCTATCTGCCAAATTCACACCTTTTCTTGGGTGCCATTTTTCAGTTATTCTAGCTGGTTATGTCAAATTCTCAAATGTTTTGTATTAGCTGTGGATAAAATAGGTTTCAACCTCCATTACTAACTGACATTTCCCAAAATTCAAGAGAGATCATCAAGGGAACAACGCAAGGAGGGTAGTATGTAATTGCAAGGAAACAGCAGAGACGCTTTAATGGCCACCAGGAACAATGCATTCAGCAATTATTAAAGATGAAGAGAAAAGAGATTGCTAATTACCATAAAAAGAGGGATGATCCTACTGAGGTAGTTAATTATAAATGCTAAAAACATTTTGAAGAAGATGATTAAACATGAGGCCGGTGTTACATTTGGTGCTATTATGTATTAGGGATCTCAGAAACTTGACCTAAATTCCCAATGTCAGAGAAACAAGACAAACAAGGGTTAAGACTGCTTCACAGAACACCTATGTTCTGTCCACAAAGAAGACTCTGAGCTTCCAGCTGCTTGCCACTT